ATTGTTAATCATAAAAGAGATAAATATTTCAAATTATTATCATCAGTGTATGAGGTACCGGTTATTAACTGTACGGAACCACCAACTGATGTATATACAGAGGAAGGCAAGACAGAAGCTGTTGTAACTTGGAATGAACCGACATTAATACATAATAATATAGATCTAGACAGTAACGGGTTAGTAAATTCTGTTTCTCTGATTTAATCAAGTTTTTGTTACACAAGGCTGTGCTTTACTTATGATTGGCAGGCGCGTACATCTCCTACTGACCGCTTCAGGCTATTAAAAAAAAACTAAGTACACACATAACCAGACCAGTGCATCAAATTAGTTGACTTCTTCCAAATTCAAACAATTGTTAAATTCTGTTCCCTGCTAAAAAAAAAAAAAAAAAAAAAATCTTTAATGATGTATAAGGGATTTCATTCTCGATGTACGTAAAGTACAATTTTCGCTTGGCGGATAGAAATCTAAGATATATGCGGCATTCGGAGTACAGAATTATCCCTAACCACACTCACTTAAAGATACATTATGTAAGATTTAAATAAAGAACTGAACGTTCTTGCTATAATAGTTCAAAAATAGATAATGTAAAATGAATATACTGACAATTTTATTTAAATTGTTTTATTCTGAGCTAAGTTATCATGGTTTGTAGTTTTGACAAGATGTGCGCATTGATTGGTATATTCGTGACTTAGACTTAGACTCTCTGCTCTATTTTTAAATTAAATCAATAAATGACTGAAAGTTCTAATCTAGTTAAAATCTGGAGCATCAGATGGCATCGAGAGTTGGTTATTGTCTTGACATGTTAATAATCGCAACTGAGAATTACAGGGTTTTAACTAACATTTTGGTCATTTTAAGAAAAGCGATTGTAAAGTTCAATTTCTAATTCTTCACATCTATTGAATATTTCAAGTTAGTAATTGGGATGTTCAGTCATCTTGAGTACTTGACAGTGTAGGGTTCTATCTGCCACTTCCCACGCCTTCTTCAAAATAATAGGGTTCTATCAGCCACTTTCCACGCGGAAAGTGACAGATAGAATCCTAAAGTGGCATATAGAACCCTATTATTTTGAAGAAGGTGTCCATCAGTGAATTGGAACTTTGTAATTGTGTCGTAGGCGTAAGACCACAATATTTTATTGTTATAAATCCTGTTATTAGATAGAACTTTGTAATACCAACAATTTCTACTATCGAACTCAATTTTGACCTAAATGGTGTAATTCTCAGGTCGCGAAATTTCTAATTAATAATTTATATAACATCTAAGGCCTAAATATTTTAATATTTTGACAGGATATTTCTCACAAGTGGTTACGGCAAATCTGGAACTGCATTTCCAATTGGAATCCATAAGATAATGTATAGTGCCACTAATAAACTTGGCTTTACACAGGCGTGTAGTTTCCAATTTGAAGTCAAAGGTATGAAATACGTTAATTCAATGAACTCACCGATGCGTAATTTCTGATTAATTTAAATCATGCTGTGGTCATTTTAGGGATTATATGTATTGTACTGGCTTTCTATGAATAAAGGTTTTAAATTTTCTTGTAATTGTCAGGATTCAGAATGGGATTTTAAGTCAATACAATATTTTGAAACAATCAATGACAATTTTTATTTCGACGGTTAGCCATGCCCTGCTAGGTAGGAATATTTTACCGGGACAATTATGCACAACAAAATGAAGATACTGGTAGATTGGTATTCTGAAATTAAATTGTTTACCGAGTCGACTTCTTGACTTTTCTCAGCGAGATGTCGAGATTATAAAATGGCCCCAACAGTCTTCCATAGGTGATATGTCATCGTGTGTCGGTCGGTATCAGTCATTTACAAAATTTAAAGAACATCAAAACATACATGTACTATATCTACAGCTTACACGTGCCCTGTCCCGACCTGGCCAGACAATGGAAAGAGAATTTGTGATTCATCTACACCATATTGGGGAACTAGGTGTAAGTTTGTTTGTAATGCAGGATATAGTTTAAATGGAGCAAATGAAACCAAATGTCTGAACAACGGTCAATTTGACCAGGAAGCGCCGACGTGTGAAAGTAAGTTAATTATAGGAACTAAACTTGTTTGATTTAGGTCAAAATGTAATAAAGTGTTGAAAGAGTTGATGTATTTAAATGCTAGCAGATCAAACATATTCAGTCCAATGGGACACTATCCTGGTTGCGGATCTCCAAAAAACGGACTGTGACACAATGGTGACACTTAACCAATCTGGACTTTCACGCTGTGTACCTTTTTTACTCAATGATCAAGCAACTTTGGAACACTTTGTTATTATAAATCTGTTTAAATAACTTTATAGCATCCATGATACAAAGGTTATATACAGGAAACTACACACAGAACTATGACATAATACCCCCGTCAGACCGGGGTGGCGTCCTTACTGCGCGGTTACGGCGACGGACAATGGTCTCCGAGCGCGTCAAGTTCGCCATAAGCGTGGTAAAAGCGTGGTGGATATTGTACTGTGGTCTCTATCATCGCCAAAGATCGCCGAGTCAAAACAAACGTCAGGTTTCTGCGATCTCGCCAAGAAAGCTGTGAGAACGGGACTTTTTTCAAGTTTGTTATTTTTTGGGACATTTTCTCGCGCTGTGTTCACGTTTGCCGGCGACTATTAATTTTCCATTCTTTTTATATTACATATTATGTCACTATGTTTTCATGTTTCGTATTGTAAAGATAGATCTAGTTTAATATTTGACACGACTATAAGGTTAGCATTGGCAAACACTTCTTAGCAACATCTGATAGGACGGATGGAGCTCTTCCATTTATTAACATCTGGTGGGAGGGAATTTACGCAACGGTTAGAGGGGGGTAGTTTGATCATATTGTTACAGGACCAAGACTCAAATTGTACGCCGTGTCACTTCATCACTGTATTCTTGTCTAAATGACTACCTGTAGGATGGTTACACAAAAAACCTGTTGTACTCTTTGGGAAGCACAAGGTGGCGGCCCTGTCTCAGATTTAAATTGCCCAGTGGTGAAGGCAGATAATCCAAGTGACCGTGTTGGAAGCGTAGACAGTATGTACATTTATTTATCTGTTCATTGTATGTCGTGTGTATATGTAATGTTATAGATGCAAGTCCACCATCTATCACATGTTATCCACCATCTAGTCAACTCTTTAATGCTGATTCTGGACAAACAACTGCCGTGATATCGTGGTCACCACCGATAGCTTTAGATACATTTGGGAATGAGATACAAGGAGTCAAACAAATTGCTGGTAAATACTCATCTGGTGACCAGTTTCCTAAAGGGCTCTACCTTATACAGTTTGAAATAATAGATGGAAATGGTTATAGAGACAACTGTTCTTTTAATTTTGAAGTTGAAGGTATACGTACAAACCACTTAATATCTTGACACTGACACTCATGATAATAAAAAAGTGTTATTCTAATTTAAATACCCTGTGTAATTAAGCACATGTAAGTAAAGTAAAGATAGAACAAAGAAAGAAGGGAGAGAGAGAGAGAAATGGGGTTTAACGTCCACTCTACACAAACTAGGTCATTTCGGGACTAACACATGGTTCAATTTTATTTCAATAATTCGCTTGCGCGTAGGGGTCTTTAGCTGTGGGAGGAAACCGGAGGACCCGGAGAAAACCCACGAGGTTGGACAGCGACCCTACTCCTTGTCACGTACAACCGGGGATTCGAAACCCCGCCAGTTGACTCAATGACAGACCGTATGATACAGCGCGCGCGTGCTAACCATTCGGCCATCCAACCCCCCCAAAGAAAGAAGGGATAAGGACGATGGTGGTATGAAATCAATAGATACCAATGTAAACTTGGCATTCAAGTTAAGTTAGCATAAAGCGATTTGAATAATTTTTGAAGCAATATGTTTTTTTTTTTAAATAAAAACACTTTTGACCATATATGGACTTAATCTTTATTCTAGCGTGTTGTGGGTTTAAAATTAAGTTTCATACATATTCAGGAATACAATATTATCATTATTTCAGTTGATCACTGTAGTGTTCTTCTTGCACCCATTAATGGTCAACTAAGTTGCAACCATCAAGATTTCAGAAGAGGAACCCAGTGTAATTTTCAATGTAACCCTGGTTACACCGTCAATGGTCCTTCTGTTACTAATTGTTTGGATACTAAGCAATATGATAACCCCAAACCAACATGCGATGGTAAGCTTACTCTTAGAAAATTAAAAATGAACATATTGAAAAGTTTGGTCAAGTTACCCCTTATTCTGAGCGAAGTCTCGACTATCTTTTTATCTACTTAACATCGGAGAGTTCATTATGGGCTTTTCATGTTAATAAATAATAAATTATATAACATATGAAGCCAGAATGCGACTTTAACAAAGAAAACGATATACGATCTAATAAACTTATATTACCAATGTATTATATTTTGTGGTGTTTTTAAAAATCTATTTGTTATTACCAATAGCTATTACATGTTCACAACCAGTCTCTAATGGTACCTATATCAGTTGTAGTAATGGTCAATATATCAACAGTCAGTGCACCGTATGGTGTCAACCCGGTTATTCCCTTATAGGATCGCAAACAACTAGTATATGTATAAATAGACAGTGGGAAAATGGAATACCCCAATGTGCTGGTAGGTTAAACAAACTAATTGTTCTTCCATTTCAGAATGTATTTAGATTAAATATTCTGAAGATCAAAGGAATATGGATAATTCTGTTATAACCAGTCTCTTTTCACTAATATTTCCCAGTAATGCTATACGGAAGCCGCTCTATGTAAAGAGCACATAAAATGACCAAGCAAAAATATATGTACTTTTAGCTAGTTTTTTCGATATCGAATTTGGTTACTCCAGTCATGGTTAATTGATCTGGTGTGAGAAAGCCGATCGTTAGATATCGAACCAATATTTTATTTCATGTTTTAAGATTCAGAAGCACCAGTATTTGAAAACTGTCCGACATCGGAGCAAATATTTCTGACCGCCAGTGATATCCATGTGTCAACAGTAGCTACTTGGAGTAACATCACAGCCAAAGATAACTCTGGTATAGTTAGTGTCATTTTGAACAGTACAAAAGGATCCGGAGCAGTCTTTCCAGTTGGATCAACAGCGGTAACTTACGTCGCAAAGGACTCTGCCCAGGAAGCAATCTGTACCTTCAATATTGTGGTAAAACGTCAGTATCTTTAGATATATCTCTCAAATTATCGCTTAAAATTCTAAAATGGATTAAGAACGGGCGTAATGTAAAAACCAGTATAAGTTAGAAATGAATAAAGGAGCCACAGTGGACTTAGGCGCTACATGTATCATTTTTGCATAGGGCGACAGAATACCGACCCATGACTAAATGTCGTCTGGTGTTCTCAGTGACAACCTCCACTAAGAAATTTGATCTATGAAAACGAAACGAAATAGAATCCGCGTTAATGCGTTTGCCTTTTTTTCCAGATTTACGATGTATTGATCCTATGTTTATTGATACCACTGTACGATATAGTTGTGGTGGTTATACACGAGGTGATCAATGTAATATCACGTGCTTACCTGGTAAATCTCTGGTGGGATCAACATCAATAACATGTGAAGACTCTGGTAGTGAGCCATTAAAGGCCCAGTGGAACTTGAATGGTAACGGGGAACCCACTTGTCAAGGTAAAAATATTTTAATGTTTATATCAAAATAAGAAAACCGAGAACTATAAACTGGTTGACTTTTGCCAATACATATCCAATCGGTTGCTAGTGAATGTTACAGGTGATATGAAACCAATATAGCATAGTACGTTTTTGGGGTACTGACAGATCTCTTTACAGCGACATAAACAATAACTACACTAGGAATATAATGCGCAAAGTGCTAAAATTTAACCGGAACGTAAAGATGAAAAGGTGAATCCACAACTGTTAACTGTATATCTACAACCTAAGGACAAAATTGATCTCAAAGATGAACCGATTCTGTAAGCCAGCTTGAAGTATGTTGAAACATTAATAATGATCTTTTAAAAAGTGATTATAAACCTCTTTCATTAGATTTTATGTTTGATTTTTTCGATAATAACCCGTTTTAGTTGAGTATTTTCTATTATATAAAGTCAGTATTGAGTTGTAACCGATTTTGTGTTCTCCTGTCGATTTCAACAAAAATATAACCAGAGTTTGTCCTCATCATTAATGAAAATAACACATCAGATCAACCCAATACAATAATTTTATTTGACTTGAATCAAAGAAGTTTATTATTTTTCAAGATGAATAGGGAAAGTATGAGCTTTAGTAAATGTTAACTGAGTACTGACAATGGTATATTATAAACAGTATTTGGTAAAAGATGTACTACTATATAATGCATGGGTTTTAATGCTTAGCATTCAGTCTTCTGTTATTTATTTTAGATATACCATGTGTGGATTTACTGGCACCAGTACAAGGAACAATAACATGTACAACGAACTCTAATATTAAAACTTGTGAGTTAATATGTAATGGACAGTATGATTATCCTAGAGATGTTAATACAGTTTTAACATGTGATATAGAAAATAATGTATGGCAACCAACCAATAGACTACCTGATTGTACAGGTAAGTGCATAACAATCTTTCTAATTGTGCAAGTAAGAAGTTCAGATTAAACTACCTAATTGTGCAGGTATAGCGCGTGAGTTTTGGATCATAAACTCGGTCATTCACTCAGATGCCATGGTTACCATCTCATGTTTTCATGTGGCAAACGTTGGTTCACCTGTGTACCCTCTCTGGTTTCAACGACCCCCCCCCCCCCCACACACACACTGGTTAAACTCCCTAAGCACAACGAAGTTATAGAAATAAAGACACACCATATGTTGATCCTGGAATGTGTTGAGTGGACGTTAAACAGGATTTTGTTCTCTCCTCCACTCACAGATAAAAAGTTTGCAACACACATGTCTATGGTGGCGGAATTAGAAATAAATGACGGTTCTTGTACTGACCAAACTCACATAGACCAAATAAAAGCTAACTTCATGAATAGTCTACATGATACTGGTACGTGGAAAGATGCATGTTTACCAGGCAGACAGTGTTCTATAGAACGTCTTCAAGTACAATGTTCAGAACAAGTCGTCAGAAAGAAAAGACACGAGGTAATTTATGAAACATTGAAGAATGTGATGGATGGTATATCAGGGCTTTTTTTATGCCTCTCAATAATGTGCAAATTTCAAATGATATTGATATTAACGACCGGAAATACCTTTTTATGCCTCTCAATGATGTGCAAATGTCAAACGATATTAACAACCGGAAGTATCCTTTTTATGCCTCTCAATAATGTGCAAATTTCAAACGATATTAGAAACCGGAAATACCCTGCACCTGCCGAAAGTACCACTCTATCCGCGTATTATGATTATGTAGCCGTGATAAGTGTGATACTTTTAGTAACAATAGACGCACTATTGGCAGAGATGATAAATGTTAAAGCTGTGGTGACCACTGATTTTGAATCAGTGGCGTTCAGATGGTTTGTGATGCCGGGGCCAACTCCTATATGGTATGCCTCCAGGACTCACGTATAGAACCTAGTAGTAGTCTACTGAGAAATGTGAGAAAGCTAGATGCTTTAGATTAAGCTGCACAGTTTGTACAACGATAATTAAATGGAAGCCCCATCTGTCCCGCAGCACGCCATTATTTGAAATATATTTAATTTTAATACAGAAACACCGTCGTTAACACATATGTACTATTACAGGATTTTGAGGTTCGTCATATTTATAAAAGACAAACACAAAAGGCCATAATTACCTGGCAATTCCGTATAGATTTTGATTTAAATGGTATGACTATCGAAGACGCAAGATTTGAGCACGAGTTTTATCTTAGTGAACTTGCACTGGCCATGGAGAATGACATCTACAGTGCGACGTTTGATAACGCCTTTCCCGGATTTTCTTTAGGCTTTTATTTTTACCAAAACCCCGCCGAGTTTGTGTGTGGTGTGGGAGAATTTGTCCAGTTTGACACTGGAACATGCCGTAAGTGATAAAATATTTCTTTTAGAATGGGGAATTAAATATCTTGTGGATGATATACCTTTGGCGTATAATACTTTAGATTTATGTTTCTAATGTGGCTATAAGCACAATAATTCCAGCATTTCTTTCGCGAATTAACCTACAAGTTATGTCGGCCCGTAAAACCTGGACAAGATAGATATCGAAGGTTCTTTCCCGTCCACACTCAGGGCAAGAAATGTCTTCCGTCAGGATAAATTTCCGAAATAAAAATCTGAAATCTACACAGTTTTACCACCCTTTTATAGAGGACGCAGAAATATTCATAACTATAATTTTGTTAAAATTTCTTCGCGTAATTTTATTCCTTATATTAAATGTATTCAGTATATTATTGTTATTTTAGAATCATGTGCAGTTGGAAGTGTGTATAATAGTATCAATGATATTTGTGAGGAGTGTCCCCTTGGTACTTACCATTATAACAGCACGTGCGTACCATGTGACGGAGGAAAGACAACTCTACATGCAAGTTCTCATAACATTAGTCGATGCGTATGTAAGTACATTTATTAAAATAGATGATTCTACTAAACGGACCAGTGGCACAGTTTTTACAGGTGGGCAACAGAAAGTATATTTTGCCAACTCATATTTTTTGGGCGATCTATTTGACGTAATGTACTCAACCCATTTATCACTGGTCACGATTTGACAACTCTAGATTCAATATCTCACAATTAAAGATTTTGTTAGACTTTGTTCATAGGTAATTGTTCATTCTTGAAAATAGAGCTATGTGAGTAGTCCCAAGCAATGGACCCATATAAAATGTACAGCCATGCATATTTCAGCCGCAGGTATCAAGAGATTCCTGCTGATATACTACTATAAAATGATTCTAGAAACAGTAATTTCCAAAATATTCCCATGGGCGGGCGGTATCCCCCCCCCCCCCCCCCGCCCCCTTAGGATGGATTTAAAGTCTGCCAACCCACTCAAAATATAGTCGACGCGCCACTGCAATTGAGTGATAAAATGAAAACAATCGTCAAAAACAATAATATTCAGTTTATCAAATAAAAGTAAACTATAATATCACAGTTTATCAGCATATTTGAAATTTTAGTGTCCAGTAAAGCAATAGTTAGAAAAAGCAGATGTACACTGACAAAACTACACACGGTGGCAGCCTTGGATAAACAAACATAAGCGCCCGTAGTTTAACTGTAGAATTTACCACGGCGCAAATGGCACAGTCACAAAGTGGGGACCCACAGTACACGAGAATAAAAAGCCCCAACGAATATATAATTTTTACTATTAGTATTAATAAAAAGCCCCAACAAATATATAATTTTTACTACAGTATTAGTATTATTTTGGTATTAAAGGGTCGATTTATTAAAATAAATTTTTAAATATATTTCAGGGCTCCATAAATTTTTCATTGCGGAGGGCCTCCAAGTTCTTAATCCACCCGTGTTCCGTGGTATTAGTAGCATATCGCCACAATATATACCAAAAACTAATAAAATGTTATATTATTTTGTTATTATTGCAGCACAGTGTGAGATGGACAAATTTTCAAGCACTGGATACGAACCATGTTATAATTGTCCAACTGGTAGTAATAGTAGTATCAGTGGTAGTAAGAATTGTACCAGACTTATTGTACAACCTCCTTCTCCTGTTGGTATGTATTATTCTATAGAAAGGAATCATAGGCCCCAGACAAAAATACTTGTTCACAGTAAGAAAAGTTAACGAGGCAAACGTGGTCATTAGCTGTGCATTATCTATAAGGCATTTTAAATCAGCTACTCCATGTATTGGAAAGTGCCAAAACTCCACATCGATAGTATGTGTGTAATGACAGCCGCAGTCAAACGATTATGGACTAACTGTCATCCTCCATTTACATTTGATTTTAACTTTCTGCATTATGTATTCCTGTATTGTGCCATATTCCATATTTTGGGGAGCCGCGGTGGCACAATTAGTAAGACGTTGGCTCGTTAATCTGGAGGTCCTATGTTCGATCCGAGGAAATACCGATATAGCTCATTGCGGCTCTCCGACGTGGTTCCCTACATGTCAGTGATACAGGGCAGAGGGCCTGGCAAGGAACAACGTATAGTCGTTCGCATGGGACGCAAAACTAAGTTCCTGTATACACATTGACGCGCACGTAAAAACGTAAAAGAGCCCTTGACAGTTGGAAGTTAGAATAAGAGTAAGCCGTAGTGCCGCTGTCCGGGCAAAGGCCCCCCCCCCACTATAGCACACTGTATGACATATGCCTGTATTTATTAACCCAGCCGATGCAGAACAGTACGACGTTAAACCCTATATCATTTCATATTTCATATATATCATTTTTGTACAGTGACCCGAAAACTCCAATCTGCATTTCTCGGTAACATTCCGATATTATCGAGGATATCATTTGCACCAAATGGTTAAGCCAAAAACTAAGAGAGATTATTGTCAATTCCGATATTTTCCGAGTATTTATCGAGGATATCATTTGGACCGAATGGTTAAGCTAAAAACTAAGAGAGATTATTGTCCATTAAGAAATGAGATCCAGTTTCGGGAAAATTACTAAGCAATAATTATAGCTTGTTTGTTTTGATTGCTAATTTACGGTTTGTTTTCTTTTAAACGAAAAAATAATCAAAATCTTGCATGGTAGTTCTACGTTTGACAATATCTAATTCAATTAATAGAAAACTGTAATTTTTTTCCCTTATTTATATCACCATTTTTACGCCCGTAATTATTGTTTTTATTTGAATTCATTTATTAACTAGATTATTGTGTGAATTCTCCGTGTGGGATACATCAGTGTCAATCCAAGTCTAATAATTACGTGTGTGTTTGTAATATGGGTTACCGTGGTAATACCTGTCAAACGCCTCTAGATCCATGTACATCTCATCTGTGTAAAAATGGCGGAACGTGTATCAGTAACCCATCTGCAAATGCGTATACATGTTCCTGTACGGAAGCCTATGGAGGACAATATTGCGATCAAGAAAAAGGTAATGGTATAATATGCTGTATTTCTATTAATATAAAAAAATTTAATGTAATTTTATTGTCCCATTCTTGCTCTTGTGGTTATATATCTAGCCCCCACAAAGCCCAGCATACATCATTTATCACTACGTCATAAAATAAATACGGAGGTTACATATTTAACATTCTGTTCAGAATAAAATGTTGAAATGTTTGATGTTGTGTTATTTCGACAAGGATTATTTTTACTTCAAGTTTCATATTTTGAAAATAAAATCGGTTATATTTCTGCAAGAGCATATCATGGTAATTTCATGAACCATCATTTTGTTGTGTCCTTATGGACTCCTTCTTGATTAAATAACTATCAAACAGTTATATGGAATCTATTTTCAGCATCAAGTGCATCACAGTGGGGTGAATGGCAGTTTTGGGATCCATGTAGTGCTAGTGATTGTGGTGAAGGTGTTGAAACTAGAACACGTGTTTGTGTTTTTGACACAAATCAAACACCCTGTAGTGGTAGTTATGACGATAGTCGTCACTGTAATCTACCTAGCTGTCAAGGTAATGATTATTGTTCCGGTTACTTAATTGAATATTATATTGTGCATATATTTCATATCAATCAGATTCAGATGTTCTTTCGGTTCATTTTTCGTTTTGTTTCATTTTATATTGCGTATTTTATGCCGTAACAAAAGAAATGAACTGCTCTTAGGAGTTCATTTTTCGTTTTGTTTCATTTTATATTGCGTATTTTATGCCGTAACAAAAGAAATGAACTGCTCTTAGGACACAGTTCCTGGTCAAACATATTTTACCTATCCCACCCCATAAGCTTAATGAACAATACTATGATTTTCAGATTGTTCTTCCAATGATCTTCAATTTCCAGCTGGCACAAAGGTAACATGCTCCAGTGTAGGATCTAATTTAACATGTACTGTTAGTTGTGATGCCGATTATGAATACAACTCTTCACTACCTGTGCATACATGTTCTAATGGTGTTTGGTCTCCAGGAAGGGCGGTAACTCCCTGTGATCGTGAGTATAAGGACTAGGATTGGTAAATATTTCCCCTTAATTCGGAACCCACAAATGTATAGTTTTCTACGTACGGTACAACCCCCCCCCCCCGTGCCCTCTGTGTATAACAATTAGAGAACTAGAATCGAAGGGGCCTATTTGAGCTTACATTCTTTTGCCAGGTATAACATAGTTTACAAATATTATGGTATTTTATGTGTAGTAAATTGGCAAGCACGAATATATGCTGTTTCCCAGAACACTCGGGGGATTTTGTCTGAAGCTCGGTATTTAAATTAATTCGCAGGCAAAAGAAAGCTTTTTCTCCAAACTTTGTACACTTCGATCAATATGTGTCAAATCAAAAAGTAACAGAAATGATATGATATTGGGGAATGAAAATGAACCCACTCATAAATACAACCATTCTAGATGAAATAAGCTTTAAATATGTTTTTTAAAGGATCAGCAGGCTGGTCTGTTTGGTCTAACTGGACAAGATGTTTATCATGTAATGACAGTCGTACCAGAAGTAGAAGTTGTAACAGTCCACCATCTTCAGCCAGTGTACAGCCATGTTCTGGTTCAAATACCGAAACAATGCCATGTACTCAAGATCAAGAACTGGGCTGTTCAGGTAAATAATTGAAATGGGTTTAACGTCCTACTTTTCTGCACTAATCGGGCTAATGAAGATTGGCGTACGCCATACAGTGTATTATGAGGGAATTTTGCCCTGACAGCGGCACTACAGCCTACTTTTATTTCGATTTCCAACTGACAGAATTTTTAGCGTGCCACCCGAACGACTAAACGCTTTTCCAAGCCATGCTGAGCTGGAAATATCATTTTGTTTTTTAGACTGTAATGAATCCGATCTTGTAGCTGCTTCGGGTGCTGAAGCCAACTGTACTGGTACTGCTTCTAGTATGACGTGCGAAGTTTTGTGTAGTCCCGGTTTAGTCTGTCTTGAGATACCACCAGTTTATCGCTGTAACTATGGTTACTGGACGCCCTCAAAACAGTTGATACCATGTACAAGTAAGAAATAAATCATTTTTATACGCCCACATTTTCATGTGGACGTATTATGCCGTCGCCCCTGTCCGTCCGGACGTCCGTCCGTCCACAATTGTTTGTGGACTCTCTACAGGTCACAATTCTTATCTGATTTTGACGAAACTTGAAATATAGGTTTATCCCCAAAAGATCTCGGCTGCTTTCGATATTGGCATGTATCGGATCGAAACTTCATGGATTATGGCCCCTGATTGTACGAAAAATCACGTTTTTAGCTTGTGGACCCTATAGAGGTCACAATTTTTATCCGATTTTTTTGAAACTTGAAATGTAAGATTATAACCCAAAGATCTCGGTTCCTTTCGATATTCGCGCATATCGGACCGTAACTTCCAGAATTATGGCCCCTGATTGTACGAAAAATCGCGTTTTTAGCTTGTGGACTCTATAGAGGTCATAATTTTTATCCGATTTAAAAAACCGCATTATTATATCACCGTTACACCCTACGGATGGCTGAGTTCGAATTTCGTGAAAATCGGCCCAAAATTGACAGACAAAATGGCCGCCGTTTGTTCTCAAATAGCGTAAAAATATGGTATATCAAGGTTTTGGACCCTATAGAGGTCACAATTGTTATCCGATTTTGTTGAAACTTGAAATGTAAGTTTATAACCCAAAGATCTCGGTTCCTTTCGATATTTGCGCATATCGGACCGTAACTTCCAGAATTATGGCCCCTGATTGTACGAAAAATCGCGTTTTTAGCTTGTGGACCCTATAGAGGTCATAATTTTTATCCAATTTAAAAAACCGTATTATTATATCACCGTTACACCCTAAGGATGGCTGAGTTCAAATTTCGTGAAAATCGGCCCAAAATTGACAGACAAAATGGCCGCCGTTTGTTCTCAAATAGCGTAAAAATATGGTATATCAAGGTTGTGGACCCTATAGAGGTCGCAATTTTTATTCGATTTTGTTGAAACTTGAAATGTAAGTTTATAACCCAAAGATCTCGGTTCCTGTCGATATTTGCGCATATCGGACTGTAACTTCATGAATTATGGCCCCTGATTGTACGAAAATACGCGTTTTTTTAGCTTGTGGACCCTATAGAGGTCATAATTTTTATCCAATTTAACAAAACATATTATTATATCACCGTTACACCCTAAGGACGGCTGAGTTCGAATTTCGTGAAAATCGGCCCAAAACTGACAGACAAAATGGTCGCCCTTTGTTCTCAAATAGCGTAAAAATATGGTTAAAATCAAGGTTGTGGACCCTATGGAGGTCACAATTTTTATCCAATTTTGTTGAAACTTGAAATGTAAGTTTATAACCCAAAGATCTTGGTTCCTTTCGATATTCGCGCATATCGGACCGCAAATTCCTGAATTATGGCCCCTGATTGTATGAAAAATCGCGTTTTTAGCTTTTGGACCATATAGAGGTCATAATTTTTATCCGATTTAAAAAAACGTATTATTATAATACCGATACACCCTAAGGATGACTGAGTTCGAATTTCGTGAAAATCAGCCCAAAACTGACAGATAAAATGGCCGCCCTTCGTTCTCAAATAGCGTAAAAATAGGGTACATCAAAGTTGTGGACCCTATAGAAGTCACACTTTTTATCCGATTTTGTTGAAACTTGAAATGTAAGTTTATAACACAAAGATCTCGGTTCCTTTCGATATTTGCGCATATCGAATTGTAATTTCCTGAATTATGGCCCTTGATTGTAGGAAAAATCACTTTCTTCTTAGCTTGTTCTCTATCCATCTCCCGAAAATGTGGGCGTATCCTGCCTGGCAGCTGCTGGTTATATTAGATATTGTACTTCAGATTGAGTGATTAAAAACAAATACTTTGTAGTATTGATTTCTGCAAAAAAATGGTTCAATCGTATGCTACGTATCACATATTTTTGAAAATAAAGATGTTTAACCAACACAGGCATGTTTTAGCAAAAGGGTTCTAGTACAGACCAACACAGCACAGACAATCCAAAATGTAGAGTTAATGACAAATATATAGTACCAAAATTCACCCGAATGTCAACGATTAGCTACTTGAATCAACCACAGGGAAATAGTTAAAACCTGTCTCGTAAACTGCACCCGTTACACTTTGTAGCACTGAAGCCAAAACTGGAGAAGATTAACGGAAGCAACAATGTCCCAGTGAAATTAAGAATGTATATATATAGTGACATAAGTGTAATAATGTATATAGTCAATGTGTATCATACCATGCTACAATGTATTAGCCGCTTTTACTACGTCAAATGTGGACATTTATATTTTTTGTCAGTTTTCTCCATTTTATCCTTCTACACATTTAGCACAAAAATACAGTTCTTAATCGTTTTGTATGTTTTTTTTTCTAATTTGTTAATCTCTTATATTAAAGAGAGTGTCGTTTATTTAAAAATCCTGTCAGATCTTAACTGTCGTGGAGACGAATAAAACAAAATTTGAACTATGGAAAACGTTGTGTTTTAACCAGATGGCATTTAGCAACAACATCCACCCAGCTTAACCAAACAAACCGTTACGAAAGATTAAATTCATCGTTTTAAACAGCTACATTTGGTGATTAAACTTTTGTAGGTACTGTTCCGGCACAATCCGTGAGTCTTACTTTTACAGCTACTTATCCTAGTGTATCCTGCTCTAACCAGACGCTGATGAATTCCATAAAACAACAGCTTGAACAGAAGACACTTATTCTAGATTGTCTTAATAAATCCTTATGTTCTGTAAATATTAATACTGATTGTAACAGTAATATAAACACAGGGAGAAAGAGGCGCGCCACTGGTGATACCATTGTTAACATGGCTCTTACATCCCAACAAAATGTGGGGAATTTAGATTTGGACCAATACGTCAACAATGGCCAAGGTATCAGTTTTTTTTAATTTCTCCTTTAAAAAGAAGCGGGGTTGGGGCGTTGGGTGGCCGTGTGGTCCAACGCTTGCGCTTTAGATTATAATATCTGTCAATGAGTCAAGCGAGATGGTTTCGATTCCCAGCTAAGAAGTAGGGTAGCCTGCCCAACCTCGAGGGTTTTCTTCGTGTTCCCACGTTTCCTTACATTGCTAAAGATACCCACGCGCAAGCTATTTATTGAAATAAAATGTTATCTTGCTATGTCAGTCCCGAAATGACCTAGTTTGATGTTAAACCCGATTTATCTTCTCTCTTTGATGCTGATATAAAACGGATTTACTTTAGGGTGTGAATCAGTATGACATCAGTCGAACTCTATTATGCATAATGATATTGTACTCATTGAGAAGGTGTTGTTATTGTTGATCTTCGGAAATGGTTAATCGACTCACTATTAAGTGCCCTATTCAGGTTTGTCATAATATTTGAAAATCCTTTCTTATACACCATTAAACATATACCTCACACCCTTTTGTTGTTATTAACGTGTTTCAGTAAGTTCCACTTTACAACAGCTTGTAACTTCTTTGGATACCATGGATAAATCCGCCCAGCAGATTAAAGATGACAGTTCTTTCTTTAGTGTAAATACAGACAATGGTCCCACTTTACCAGGTAGTATAGAAGCGAACGGTGTCATCAGTTGTACTGGACAATCTATCAGTCTGGCTGGAGTGTGCAGTAAGTTAACGTTCTCAAGTTTATCACAATAACCGAATATGTGTATCACGTGATATAGCTTCATTAACAGTTAAAAACGCCAGAGCCTCGATCAAAATACCACGGTTTAGTTTATCCTGTTGCCCCTTTCAGTTATACCCCTCTCCTCACCCATGCCATGCCGTGTATTTCATTAACCTTCATATGTTACTTGATCATATCACCCCCGTTTCTGATTCTGATAGCACGAATGTTGGGACCAAGAAAATGCTCTTGAAACTAATGAAAATTAAGTCATTGACTAGAAGTTACTATTCTCTTTGATAATTAAAATTACATTGGTTGGATCCAGTTACCATAATCATTTTGGCATAACCCCACTAAAGTATAAAATGTGGAGTTAAAACTGATCTAGCTGGTTCTAATGTTTTCAAACAGTTGAATGTCCACCTGGAACCCATCATAACGGAAGTAGTTGTGTATTGTGTGAAAGCGGATCCTACCAAGAGTTGTCTGCCCAGAGTTCGTGTAAGCCATGTCCAAATAGTGGAACAACAGTCACGGTTGGCTCCTATGGAATCAGCCAGTGTACAGGTATATTATAGTGTGTTAATAAATTTTCCTATTAATCTAATTTTTGGTCACCCTTAAAACATTAAACATAAAAGTGAGCAGTACCTTTGGGTAATCTAATAGTGTTATATTGTTTAAAACATCCCGTCAGGAGCCAAGCAGAACAGTTTGCACCAACCTTCTTATTAGAGCTGACTATAAAGATTTACAATTTCGCTAAGAAAATATATTTATATATTACACGGTTGGTAGTTTATGGATTAAATATATTATTTGGTATTCTTTCAGGGGTTTCTACTTCCATTGCACCATGTGATGATAATATGCTGATTGCTATAATAGTACCTATTGTGTTGGTTATATTAATCGTTGTAATCGCTATTCTGGTATATATTTAGTAAGTAGCCAAATAGTTTTAACATAAGGCATATTATTTGTTCAATTCCTGGGGTTTGATCCCACGATTGTGTGTGGCTAGAGTAGCATGTATAACCTAGTGATGCTTCTCGAGATACACCAACTACTATTACTGGTATTAACGTCCGCTTCCACCGGGGGTGATATCGTAAAAAAAAGATCCGTGTGATTGCAAGACCAAGCTTAACGTAAGTGTATGGTGAGGTGGGGGGGGGGCCAAAAATACAGCCAATACCCCAAACTAAATACTCGTATGAGTCAATAGAGATCTAGCGGCTAATATACTAGGGCCGTCAGGAAAGAAACAGTTGTCGCCTGGCTTCCCAGATACACAGATGTCCTGCCAATTTTAAAGACCCATGTGTACTAATAACGAAAGACCGGGAATGAATTTGCTGTCCAGGTAACAGTCTCCTCAAAATTTAACTAAAGATAAAATCCAATTTTAGTAGATACTTCAATTTTGATTGGTTAAGCACTAAAATCAATCTAATATTATCCAATCAAATTACTAAAATTTGGATTTTATCGTAGTTAAAATTTCGTGAAACAGGCCCCGGCACTAGAAAACAGAACATGAGTTACCTGCCTTTTCCTAGAGCTCTTATATTTAGTAGATATTTACGGAAGTGTATTTAACGAGTGTCATTATTTTGTTTTTTACAGCAAGAAAAAGAAGGGAAATGCAAAAATTTCTGATGAAGAAAATAAAGAATTGAAATATAATGGTATGTTTATCTTCGTTACTTAGTCAAATCTGATTACAATACCGATGTAAATTTCGTTTGGTCTTTCTCGTCTTTTTCATACTATTGATGACCTCCGATTGCATACGTGAATTTTGACTAAATGACGAGAACTATTTTTATATATGTATATATATAGGGAGCCATGGTAAGGATGCTAGATTCCCGACTAGAATGTCCCAGGTTCAAACCCCGGTGAGGGCCGAGAAGAATTTGGGGATTGCCAGTTGTCTGAGTTGGCAAGTAAAAGTTTTGCCAGGTCCTTATCATGGGTCAGGTAATTGCCTACATCAAGATATCCCTGTAGTCAAGACAAATAAACAGAAATTTAAACTGTGAAAAACGAAACAAAATAGGATATATGTTTTAATCAGATTGGACCGAGTCGTTTAGATTTCCCTTTGTCACCCTCAGTATGTGGATTCCATGCTTTGGGTTCGCGAGTTCGATATCGAACATCAACACCCCTGTCACAGATGCATCCTATTGATTCCTATTGAAACACTCAATTAAGCAACAACGTTATAATTATCTAAGTTTGTTTTATTTATTGCAGGAAATGGGAATGGAGCAAAGTCCATGAGATCAGGATCAATTATCAAAGTACATCGGGGATCATCTGTGGCCCCATTGTCAACGACTAAATGAATCAAGCTTGACGATTAGAAATACAAGAAAATGATTTATTATAGCTAGCGGGAATACTTTAACAACGGTTACAAATTTCAATACGTGTGGTTACAAATTTCACAGACGACAACAGCACCCACCATTTATTATAAGATATATTTCTCGTTACGGTTGTAGATAAACTGCATTTTTAATTTTACAGTCAATTATCAACTGACAGTTTTATGTCAGAATACAATAATTTTGTTGCTATTTAATATTTGTATCAAAAAGATATAGCATTTCCAATTGAGATAGTTTAATTCAATAAAAGTTTATTATTAATGTCCCTCGTCTACTATTTGTATTTCATTGACTACACATGTTATAACCTTATTTAATAAATATACTGAGCGCCATGGAAAACGCATCACTTAGTTTTTTGTATAACAAAATGATCCTGTAAACATATCTTATTTATTTTGCTTCTTATTGTGAACAATATTGGGAACACATCAAGAACAACACATTTGTACACTTATGGATGTTTAATCTGTAATCAAGGGTACAAAGTCAGAGGGGTCAAAACCAAAAGTACGACACAGATGTCAGTAGCGCGTGTGTCCTCCACGGGCCATCATCACGGTAGGCTTCAGCATTAACGCGACCCCTGCAAATGTGTAGGGCGGTCCGGGATGAAATGTGAAGCCCCCCACACCATTACACTTCCCCCACCCCATCGATTCGTTTCGAAGACGCAGCAGTCTGTAAGACGTCTCCACACACGTTGACGGCCATCAGCGTGATAAAGATGAAAGCGACTCTCATCACTGAAGAGCACACTTTGCCAGTCTACTCTTCTACATGTCTTGTGTCCTTGAGCCCATATCAAACACCGCTGACGGTGATGTTCCCCGTGGATAGCTCCAACATAAGGTCGTCGTGCACGGAGTCCTACTTCTCTTAGACGACGTCTTACGGTGTTGGCACTTACTGGTCCTTGTCTTCCGACGACTGCTGCACCTGTTCGAGTCGCTGGGCGGATATGTCACGCAGATGAATGACCCGGATGTAGCGGTCTTGAGCCTGGGTTGTAACGCGTTGTGGACCAGGACGTTGACGATCACGTGTTGATCCAGTAACTCGAACACGTTCCACCAACCTTACAATAGTGGACTGATGACAATTGAAGTGTCTGGCAATAGCACGTGTAGACATGCCAGCCCTGGACATTCCCATGGCTTCATTCCGTTGATTTTCAGTAAGTCTCGGCATCTCTAGCTCGATTCCTTCACACGTCCAACAACAAATTACGACAGATTGACGTTTCACAGTTCATGTACTGCACAATAAGTTGAAAACATGCTTTTAAAGCACAGGCACTTGAAAGGATTATAATAAAACTTCTTACTACTCTTTGGCTATATATTACAGTAATAAGAAGGTGTATCAGCTGACATTTCGTTTTGACTTGTTGACGACATTTCGTCTGCTATCACCTCACAATACTCACTAGTTCTAACACTTCCCGTTGTTTTTATTGCCAACGAAACTTTATTTGATCATTATACACCTTCCAATGTAAATACATTGGTCTTTTTACATCGTTATTAATTACAAATCAAACTTGAAGCGTGATCACTTGGCTATTCGTATCTTAGACGGACCGGAAGTACGAAGAAATGAGGTCAAAGAAATTCCCTTTTGCTTTTGTTTGTAGCAGTCTGTATCACCCAGTACTTTTATAAACCTATCCGTTAATTAAAATTTGCCTAGGAACTGGGTGATCCAGGCTGCACCATAATACAAACACGCGGCCTGCGGCCTCGCTCAACAGCTGCCTCGAAGCGTAGGCTCTATCATTTACCGTGTTTGTCGGGTGAAAAATGTCAGGTTTTTGAAGTTATAGAATGGCACTAGACGCCGTTTTTTACACTGATTTTAGATATTTTAAATTTATTAGTCAATTTAAATAAATAACGGTTTCTGAAAAATTGATGAAACAGATAATTTTTTATAACGATCAATGCTTGAAAAATTTATTATAGCAGATATCGGCCAAAACATGATCGGAGATGCCCTGTTTATTTCTTTATTACAGGCACTTCATTTTTGCCGACTAAAAGGCAAACTATTTTTTTCCCCAAAAATATATGAATTTTGTATCACTTTTTACCTGTCTACCCAAGAGATATGTGCCCCCACCCCCTCACACACACACGACACAGTTTTACGTCTACGCAAGTTGCAGAAATAAAATTGTTTAATTATAGATATCACCTTTATAAATTCATTTTACTTTTTCTCCATTAAATTTTCCAAAGTATGTATTTTCCTAAGTATGTTACCCACCAATGAGAGTATTCAGCTGTCATTCTGAGATTCTTAATTGGCGATCAGCTATTTATGAAGGTCAATTTTAGTTTTGGTAACACGCCTCGACCAATCCAAAATTAGGGCTTCCCCAACATGACGTCGTTGACCTCATTTCGTCTTACTTCCGGTCCGTCTAATATACGAATAGCCAAGTCATCACGCTTCAAGTTTGATTTGTAATTAATAAAGCTATAAAATGACCAATTTAATTACATTGGAAGGTGCATAATGATCAAATAACGTCTCGTTGGCAATAAAAACGACGGGAAGTGTTAGAACTAGTGAGTATTGTGAGATGATAGCAGACGAAATGTCGTCAACAAGTCAAAACAAAATGTCAGCTGATACACCTTCTTATTACTGTAATATATAGTCAAAGAGTAGTAAGAAGTTTTATTTTAATCCTTTCAAGTGCCTGTGTTTTAAAGGGCTCACACACAATGCTGCACGTGAATATTGGGTTTTTCATGTGCATCTCGTGCAATTTTTTTTGTGCACACGGGCCGATATTTTTTGCGTTTTGGAGCATTGTGTGAAACAATAGTTCATATTATTGCATAATATTATACATACAAAACAACCTAGTAATAAAATATTTGGGAAAAAAAAGTGATGCGTTTTCCATGGCGCTCAGTATACTATAATCCGGGCAAAATTTCGCCCATAGCAGATTCCATGGCCTGGGTGGAGCATAAAAGTAGGACGCTTGACAAATTAATTTCATTTGATTTGATTTCCGCACAAATCCTGTTTGCCAAATTTTGTTCATCCAGTACTGTATCAACATATGGAATGTACTACATACAGTATTAACTGATTTTATCCCATTGAGCATGCATATTAGCATGAAACTGTGCGGGGTATAAATGTACATATTATTATTATAAATTGGTTAAAATAAATCAACAAACAAATAAATCATCAGTTTTATTTATTTCTAATTACTTGTAATTTTGTATTTTACAATCACATTCAATGTAATAAGGAAAATGTAGACGGAAGAAACATAATTACACTTAGAGTATTTAATATTAACCAAGACTATTCTATTGAATCAAGACTATAATAATTAATCAAGACTATGCTATTTAACCATGACGATACAATGTTATTTATTCAAATATTCATGTATGAGATCCACGACTTGATAAAGACAATTGAATCCGTGAAATTTTATGCCGACGTAGTAAAATTGTAGCTGGTTGAATCTGAATCAGTAACAGTATCATAATAGTTATTAGTTACAAAATTCCAACCAGGCGCCATTCCAGGTTCTTGTGTTGTTAGGTAACTTCCGTTGTTGTAACTGCTGTTTGAATTGGAAGCAGTAACAGTATCATAATAGTTATGTGTTACAAAATTCCATCCAGGAGCCATTCCAGGTTCTTGTGTTGTTAGGTAACTTCCGTTGTTGTAACTGCTGTTTGAAATGGAAGCAGTAACAGTATCATAATAGTTATGTGTTACAAAATTCCATCCAGGAGCCATTCCAGGTTCTTGTGTGGTTAGGTAACTTCCGTTGTTGTAACTGCTGTTTGAAATGGAAGCAGTAACAGTATCATAATAGTTATGTGTTACAAAATTCCATCCAGGAGCCATTCCAGGTTCTTGTGTGGTTAGGTAACTTCCGTTGTTATTATTGAAATCAGTAACATTATCATAATAGGTATGTGTTACGAAATTCCAACCAGGTGCCATTCCGGGTTCTTGTGTTGTCAGGTATCCACCATCTTTCTCACCTTAGATATGAAAAATCATGTCGAATAAAACTGAATAATCTGTAATACCTGAATCTACGAATTTACTGACCGAGAACATTTACATGTTTAAATTACATTGATCTGTTAATAAGACAACCGTAGATAATTATAAAATATAAAAACAACCATGGATAATTATAAAATATGAACATAATCCCAGATAATTATAAAATATAAAAACAACCTAGATAAATATAAAATATAACAAAAAACCTAGATAAATATAGAATATGAAACAACCCTAGATAATTATAAAATATAACAAAAACCTAGATAATTAAAAAATATAACAAAAAAAACCAACTAGATAATTATAAACTATAAAAAAAACCTAGATAATAATATTAAAATTGTGGAATATTTTATTAGTCAAGTTCTTTCTGCGAATGTAAATCAACATGTTTATAGGACTATTCAAAATGTTAGCGTTTACAGTTGAATAAAGTTGTGACCATTAAAGCCAAAATCAACGATATTTCATCAAGCTATTTCATGGGAAATAACCTCTCTTGATTTCAGACTGCATGAAATGAAATGAAATTAAATGGGGTTTAACGTCCTACTGTTCTGCTCCTACGGGGCTAATTAATGAAGACGGGCATCGCCATACAATGTGCTATGAGGGACATTTTGCCCGGGCAGTAGCACTGTGGCCTACTCTTATATCGAATTCCAACTGCCAAGGGATCTGTTTACGTGCATCCCAGTGTATACACGGGACCTGGTTTTTGCGTCCCCTCCGAACGACTAGACAGCTTTCCTTGTCAGACCCTCCGTCCTGCACCTCTGACAAGGGAAAACCACGCCGGAAAACCGCCTGCATGATGTCGGAGACTAAATTAAAAAATACACCGGAAATTCCGGAATATAGCGAACAACCTGCCACCATTTTATACACTTTATGAAATTATTTGATTCAACCCAAAATAAATTCCTTATAAAAATGCAAATAAAATATCAACTTACTGTCTACAACCGTATACTTTATTAAGAAACCTGGATATGTTACTGAAGAATCGGTTTTAAATGTCAATTTAACATCGCCATAGACATTCCTCACTGAAAATATAATACATAGCATATTGAAAACTTTGATTTCGGAATAAACAGTTATAGTTAATGTTAAAGTATAAGCTTGATGTTAGTGTCCATTGTCTACGTTTCTGAGTAATAAAGGAATACGCTTGATGTTAGTGTCCATTATCTACGTTTCTGAGTAATAAAGGAATAAACCCCTCAAAACACACGTTATTATCAAGTCAACTAAACTACTTATGCAAGACCACTATTTAAAAGCGTTACCTCCCCATTCACGGAAACGTTTCCAGACTGTTTAATGTTTGGCTTATGGAGCTTGAAATACGTTGAATTATAAGAAAATTAACTCAAAACGCTGACATAAAACTAATACAAGACTCACATGTTTTTTGTTGACCAGATCTTTGACCACACAGTTTATTTGGGTAAATACCATGTCCGGAAGGAACGGTTAAACTATCCCAATAGCACGACCTCTGAGGTTCCAAATCAAACTTCTTAAGATCCAGTACAATATCTTTAGGTCCACCTTCATTCTTTATGGTAAGGGTGCACCATAGGTTGTTAGCATAAAAACCATTTTTCTCAGCTGGACTTTCGATATTTCCATTTGGACCATAATAAGTTTGGTCACACCCACCTAGAACAAACAATATTAAACCATGAATTATAACATGAACCATTAATAAATGGATAATAATGTTAAAAGATATTATACTAAGACACCTAGGATAAATAGCAGATAAATATATATGAAGTATAAACAGGCACTTTGAATACATAATATAATAAAATATAAACAGACACACAGATTATATAATAATATATCATATAAATAGACCCACATTTATTATACAGTATATTATAAAATAAAACACACATATTAAATAATACAATATAAACAGACATACAGATTAAATAATAAAATATAAACAAGCAGCAATAATAAGTAATAGTATAAAATATATAAATACGTTTGCGGAATATTACCAAACATATTAAAAGTTATATATATATATTTAAAATACTTACTTCTCTTCTTCCTGAATATAACATTCTATAAAATACAAAAATTATTATTTTCTTCAATATTGTCATATCCTAATGAAAATTATACAGATACATACTACGAAACTTTCTTATGATATCCTAGACAAAAGAGTGCCAGTAATATTAAGACATATTTTCTCAAAAGAGAGTCTAAGATTTATTTTCTAAGCCAACTAACAAGTATTGAATAAAAGAACGACCTATACAGCGGGCTATGAAACTTTAAGGATTTCAACACATCCGTTTTAGGCAACATGCCCACGTGCAGTCTGAATAATATACTGATTTTTATATATCAATAACAATGAAATCAAACGAGATTTCGATTTATAAAAACGAAACGAAATAGGGTGTGTGTTTTAATCGAATTGTAAATGAAGTCTCCTCTCCTCCGCACCAAACGGACTAGTGAAGGCAGGCATACACCTTGTAGTGTGCAATGGGGGTAATTTTGCTTGGAAAGCGGTGTTGCGATCTACGCTCCATAGAACTCCCACTGTCATTTTTTCTTTTACCTACACGCCTTCGAGTGTACCGACGGACACTGGCTTGTCCTCCCATCCATACGACTAGACGCCTTTCCTCGTTTACAAGATTAAACCAGGCTTGAAAACACCGAGATCGAAACCGGCAGCTTCTGGTTATTGAGTCATAACCAAAGAGACTGAGCAACAAGGATTCAGACACGGTGAATTATACACAATAAATAATAATAAAATATCCATTGTGTCTCTATAATTTAAATAAATAAACATTAATAGACATTAATAAACACAACAAAGACATATTTGATTGAAAAATTAATATAAAGTATTGAAGTAATATTTACATCAGTAGCATAACAGACAGTCAGTGTTACACTGAATAAAAACAGTAGGATATTCAAGGAAGACATCTTGATGTAGATGATCAGATAGTGATATAGGTAATAATTCTGTTCTTTATATATCTTTACTTACATATCACCTGTTGAGGCTATCCACATGATACCCACTGATATTATTTATATTGTAAATATGTTTAAATATAGCTGATGTTATATAATAAATATAACCTTTGGTGAGTTACACTTTGCATGATCGATAAATGAAATACTAAAATAAATTGGAGATTAAGCGGTCATATTAAAGTTCCAACATTCCAGAATGTAGACTTAATATATCCTGTACAGCGATATATATTCACAATGTCTCTTTTGGAAACAGCTGATGTCACTTCTCATTTAATTTATCAATATTTTGTTGTAGTTATTTTAAATTGTTAAAGCTTTGGGACTGCTGGTGAACATTGGCCTCGAGGTTATCATCTGCCATGTAGATTGACTTTGACGATTCAGGTTTAAATCATTTGCACCATTCGGATGTCCTTCACGATCAGAACACGCTTAGTCTTTGCAGAACACACCGTATATATATCACTTCCCATTTTATGAATGCACTGCGCTAGGCGCTAGCAAATTTTTGTATGCAGAATAAATTTATCATTTCTCGAAATTATATTAAAGCGATAATTTCATATTTTCTAAGAAAGTCAAAACATAATTATTTCTATGTCTTTTGCTCAATAGATTGTCAACTCACTATTATACGATCATAGGTATTATTCTCCCACTTAAAAATCTTTTGACCCCGGATATAATAACACAATTACCCCCCTTGTTTTCCTATTCCCCGCATGGAATTGCTATCTTCAAACGTTTGAATTTGAAGTTTGAAATGGTATTTTTGCCAATTTCTCAACTGGCAATAGTGAATTATAGGATTAATAGGATTATTCTTTAACAAGGTAGGACTGTTTATAGATACCATCTATTTTAAGGTTTTATTTTAATAAATTTTAAAAATATAACTTAAAAATATGAAATTGCAACTTTAAACTGGGTTTACATTTTTACACCAACTGGCCTAGTGAAAGCGGGGGTCTTCCTAAGACGCTTGATACCATTTCGTATTTGAGGGGTCCATATAGCTGACACAATATCGTTGTACTCTTTTTATTTTTCGGGGCCATGGTGGCTCGGTGAGTAAGACGTTGCTCGCTAACCTGTGTTGGCCGAGAAAGTTTATCGAGATTTTCTGGAGTGGTGAAGGACAGAAGGTCTGGCAAGGGGCAACGTATAGTCGTTTGGATAGGATGAAAAACCGAGGTCTCGTGTACATAAACAAATCTCTTGTCTGTTGGAATTCGATATAAGAGTAGGTCGTACGCCCGTCTTCATTAGCCCAGTCGGAGCAGAACAGTAGAACGTTAAATGTCATTTAATATTGTACTTGTTATCACATGTTTCATTTGGACAATGACTGGGGAAGTTGCGGTGGCTCAGTGAGTCAGCGATGGACTTGGGACCGGAGGCAGATCCATGTAGTGAGTAAGGCGCCGGTTCGCTATCCTTAAGCCCCGGGTTCGATCCCGTTGTTGACCTGGAAAGTACCTCGGATTTTTCGGCCGCTTTACCTCTTGTCAGTGATAAAAGAAATTTAAATTCAAAACACATTAGGTGCATGAAAGTGGGATGTTTAACCCCATTTCTTTCATTCATTGGATGATAACTGATTTGTATTATTAATTTATAGATTATATTGTGAAGTGAAGAATTCAATCTGTTTCAAATATATCTTGTTTAAATGGACTACCACTTTAATTTCCCTATGAGGACCGATCATATATCTATTTTCATAGAATCAAAAACAGATATAGATATAAAATTTCATCAAAATAACGCCTTTATATGTATCACATAATACAAACGTGGGATGTTAAAAATGTTTGTTTTTTATGTTTGATCATTTTGAAAAACAACGAATTCTAATACGGCAGTTATCACTTGCCTGACTGATATTTTAGGGACGCATAGAGGCAAAATTACTTTCACCAAGAAATAAAGGCCAAACAGATTTAATTTTCATTTCTTTGTTGACTTGATAAATAAATAGCCACTGAAAATTTTGAAGAAAAAAGCTTTTGAACGATGCAACTATGCACAATTTCTTCTAAAATGAGTCCTTTTCGCCAAGAACTATAGACTAAATGTTAACAGGTATTGCCGAAGAACAGAAAATCAAATTGGTGTGGCCTAAATGTAATGAAGTGCATCTAGAATGCAATATCTAGCGATGACATAATATTGTCGTCAATGACGTCATCTGCGCCTGTCGTCCGTTCAAAGTTCGGACTTTGCAAGGATAATAATAATAATAATAATAATTTGTTCAATTATATAGCGCCGAATCCACAAAACGTGTTCATACAGAACTATGGGAAAATGAGGATTTTCAAAGTTTCAAAGTTGTGTCGCATCGTCAATGGTAAATACATTATTCTACGTTAGTTGGCGTATGTCAAAAATAAAACATTATGTCCAATATAATATTACACCATAATTGCAGCTTTATTTAAGCATATTTACAATATAAATAATATCAGTGGGTATCATGTGGATAGCCTCAACAGGTGATATGTAAGTAAAAGTATATAAAATACAGAATTATTACCTATATCACTATCTGATCATCTACATCAAGATGTCTTCCTTGAATATCCTACTGTTTTTATTCAGTGTAACACTGACTGTCTGTTATGCTACTGATGTAAATATTACTTCAATATTTTATATTAATTTTTCAATCAAATATATGTCTTTGTTGTGTATATAAAATGCCCACTTATTTAAATTATAGACAACCAATGTATTTTATACTTTATGTAGAATTATTACTCGACAACATGTATACAGATTAAAACACATATCTTATTTCGTTTCGTTTTTTCATACTTGACCAGTTTATTTTAGTTGATTTGACATCTATATCAAAATGAAGCGAATTCTGTATTTCAGACCGAAAAGTAGACATGAAAGCCAAAACAGGTGTTTTCAGATCCCTAAATTTTTATAGACCAGTACATAGGTCATTCGGTCTGCTTATAAGCGTTCAAAAACACCACCAACCGATTGTTTGGTCTATACTGTTTTTTCACAAAATTTGTTAACTGTTTGAAATTATCATTGATCGAATAAATCATAAGAAAATTTCGTAGTATGTATCTGTATAATTTTCATGAGGATATTAAAAGATGGAAGAAAATAATATTTTTTTGTATTTTATAGAATGTTATATTCAGGAAGAAGAGAAGTAAGTGTTTTAAATATATATATATATATCTTTTAATATGTTTGGTAATATTCTGCAAACGTATTTATATATTTTATACTATAACTTATTATTGCTAATTGTTTATATTTTATTATTTAATCTGTATGTCTGTTTATATTTTATTATTTAATATGTGTGTTTTATATTATACAAATTCGCCCACGAACCAAAACCGATGGCCTAAAACATTCACGGGGTCATGCTGGTTAAATTGATGCCGTATATGTGATGGTCGAATGCAGAGACAAAGCGTGATTCGCCCGGGGCCCAAATTTGATGGCCGAAACATTCACTGGGTCATGTTAGTTTAAAATTTGATACCACATTATGTGGGGGTAGAGCGCGGCTACGAAATGTAATAGGCTAACATACACGCGCACCCCCCCCCCCCCACACCCACACACACACACTGATACATCTTTGATGTTATTTATATAGAAGATAGATAGATGTTTGCCTGTTTATATTTTATAATATATATAATCTGTGTGTCTGTTTATATTTTATACTGTGTAATCTGTGTGTTATACTGTTATTTATCCCAGTTGCCTTAATATAATTTTATTTATTTGAGATGTCTGAATATATTTCCCATTAAACTTATTTTTAACATTATTTATCCACGAGTTTATTAATGGTTCATGTTATAATTCATTGTTTAAAATTGTTTGTTCTAGGTGGGTGTGACCAAACCTATTATGGTCCAAGTGGAAATATCGAAAGTCCAGCTGAGAAAAATGGTTTTTATGCTAACAACCTATGGTGCACCCTTACCATAAAGAATGAAGGTGGACCTAAAGATATTGTATTGGATCTTAAGGAGTTTGATTTGGAACCACAGAGGTCGTGCTATTGGGATAGTTTAACCGTTCCTTCCGGACATGGTGTTAACCCAAATAAACTGTGTGGTCGAAGATCTGGTCAACAAAAAACATGTGAGTCCTGTATTAATATGTCAGCGTTTTGAGTTAATTTTCTTATTATTCAACGTATTACAAGCTCCAGAAGTCAAACATTAAACAGTCTGGAAAGGTCTCCGTGAATGGGGGGGGGGGGGGGTAACGCTTTTAAATAGTGGTCTTCCATACGACGACATAAGTAGTTTAGTTGACTTGATAATAAAGTGTGTTTTGAAAGGTTTATTCCTTTATTACTCAGAAATGTAGACAATGGACACTAACATCAAGCTTATACTTTTACATTAAATATAACTGTTTATCCCGAAATTAAGAGAACTGTTCACTCAAAGTTTTCAATATGCTATGTATTATATTTTCAGTGAGGAATGTCTATGGCGATGTTAAATTGACATTTAAAACCGATTCTTCAATAACATATCCAGGTTTCTTAATAAAGTATACGGTTGTAGACAGTAAGTTGATATTTTATTTGCATTTTTATAAGGAATCTATTTTGGGTTGAATCAAATAATTTCATAAAGTGTATAAAATGGTGACAGGTTGTTCGCCATATTCCGGCGGTTTTCCAACGTGGTTTTCGCTTGTCAGAGGTGCAGGACGGAGGGCCTGACAAGGAAAGCTGTCTAGTTTTTCGGAGGGGACGGAAAAACGAGGTCCCGTGTATACACTGGGATGCACGTGAAAAGATTCCTTGGCAGTTGGAATTCGATATAAGAGTAGGCCACAGTGCTACTGCCCGGGCAAAATGTCCCTCATAGCACACTGTATGGCGTATGCCCGTCTTCATTAATTAGCCCCGTAGAAGCAGAAGAGTAGGACGTTAAACCCCATTCCATTTCATTTCATTTTATGCAGTCTGAAATCAAGAGAGGTTATTTCCCATAGTTTAATGAAA